TTAATGTTCGGCTTCGCCCGAACTTAGACTTTCTTACTTGTTTAAAATATATTATTAAAAGAAACAATTTAATAAAACCGATGCGGAAAAAAAATCCAATCCAATGTATTAATTTTTTTTCAGAAAAGTTCATCAATGAGAATCGCGGCGGTGAAGCGGATATATAGCTGCATCGATGTCGTTTTTCCAATTTGCCAATAACCGCATGTAATTGAAAGCACGCAACAAGATGTAATAATTAACTTTTTTATGCTTAATTTTTGTGTGTTTTCATGAATTTTTATGCTAAAATATCTATTCCCTATTTACATTTTCGCGACTGTAGATGAGTCCGCCGAAAATTTGCATTTCTTTTAGTTTCTAGATGTTAAGCAATCTATGTATGAGTTTTTAATGAAATATCTTTAAATAAAGGGTTAAAAAATGTTTATAAAAAGCTTTCTGTTGAAAATTTTTAGTAAGTTTATATTCATACGCTTATAAACAACATTTTTTGAACCTTTATCATAAGTTTACACTTTTACGCTTATAAAAAGCTTTCTTTTGAACATTTATTACAAGTTTATATTTCTACGCTTATAACCAATGTTCCTTTTCGATTGTATTACGCTTACTTTCAAGCGTTCTATAAACAAAAAATCAACGTTTTGTAAGCTTAAAGTTCCCGTTCGGACGTTCCCAAAATGGAGCTCGTATCGAAGAGGACTGATGATTTTTGCGAAATTCAGCGAATCTGTTAATGGTACAAAAAAACGATGTATGAATGGTTGTTAGAATAATAAGCTGCCATAACCATTGCGTCAAATTAAACTTTGTAACTATGTTCAGTAGCTACCAAAAACTGTTCAAAGTTGTTCGGACGTTCCCGTTCGGACGTTCCAATTTTTTCCAATGGATACAATTTTTTGTTTTTAAGAGTTTAAACACACTCGCTTTTTTAATACAAATATGGGGTTTTATTTTAAATAAATCTACATCTATATGAAGGCTTTCATTAACGTTAAACAAACTTCGAACATATTAAAAAAGTGGTATTAATCAAATTTTATAATGCTTTGATATCGCCGTACGTCTGGCAAGTATATTGTTACAGTGGAATCCTTGAAGACCTGCAATTTTTATGGTTTTAGGTCATCGCTCTTGTAATAGTGTTGAAAAGTTATTGATTTCATTAGAGTCTACATAAATTACGGGAATTCCATTTGTATTATTTTTCGCGCAAAATTAACGTCTGAAGCATTATTTAAAATTAAAATTTGAGTCCTCGCCACTTCCCATAATTTTCTTTTTACTACCGCGCCAACGCCGTCAACCGCTCCTTTCCCATGTGAGGAAGCAATCAAATTCCATTCTATATAATTGACACCAAGAATGATAGAATACAAGATTGCGCCAATGAGAGAGGATTTTTGAGCGTAATTTTTGCGTGACGTCATATTGATGCAATTGGGAGAGAGAAATGCCAAAACGCATATAAAAATATGTAAACAATGCAGAAAAATTTGTTAATTTTAATGTTACATGGCCCAAGGAATCAATAAATATACAAAGATTGATTAATTAGGAACATGTAGCAATAATTTTGGACATGTAGCCCTTTAGATAAGTACGATTTTTAGCACATGAAAAAATGGATGTATTAACAGTGTTTGCAATTTCATGTAGACCAAAAGGAAGGTGTGCAGCAAAGTGAATTTTTGGACTTGCCATTTTAGGCTTTCTGCTCATTGGTCGTCCAATCATAGTTGAGTCATAGTTATCGTCATGAAGCAACGATTACATGACGATTACACTTCTGCACACTTGGTCGTGATGCTTTATTTACATTTTCACATCTCTATTTTTTGTTTATAGAATGCATTTGCGGAGTCAGTTCAATTTTGGCGGAATTTTATTACAAATATAAACTTAAAAACAAAAATCAACATAATTACAACAGATTGCAGTACTCGAACGTGAAATGACATCATCAAGCGAAGATGAAACCGACGCAGTCATGCTATTGGCTCTCCATCTTAAACGCCAGCAAAGAAAAAGGCGTAGGAGATTTTGGGTCCACAAATATATACAAAGAAATAATAGAAAGCGGTTATACATCGCCGCGCAAGAACTTTCCCAAGATGATAGCAAATTTCAATCATTCTACAGAATGTCAAAACCCACGTTCCAGCATCTCGTGTCGGTTGTGGGTCCGTCTATTCAAAAACTAAATACCCGATTCAGGGAATGTGTTGGCCCGGAAGAGCGGTTGATGATAACCCTTAGGTAAAAGTTATAATATTTGTATAATACATATGGCATTTGCTTTTGGAAGCCAGTTGCTGCTCGTTTCGCCATTTAAACAACTTTAAATGGTTGGCGAGCATTTGTTTAAGATAAAAATGAATTTCTGAAGAGGTCAAATAGGGTCTATTGTATTTGTAGTGGCAATAAAGACAATCACAATTATAGTCAAACGGAATTGATGAATGTTATGGAGCGCAAGCAATACTAAATTGGACTAGAACCCAAAAAAATTTCTTTCTTTCAGATCCATCCCGACTAAATTTCGAAGAGATAGCTAAAATTCATGTGCGCATTTTAAAACTTGACCTGATGCTATACTACTGAACATGTTGAACATTTATCCCTTCAAGTACGGTTTGGTCATCTTTAAATTTCTACGATTCTGTTCAGATAGTAATATTCTACACTTGACTGCAAAATGTGTTGTTGTCGAAGTCTCGGATTAAGGAAGTGCTGAAATATGAAATTTTTAAATTACGTAAATTAAAAAATTTTAATAAATTTAAACGACCAATATACAGAGCGCTGTACCAATTTTTTATTAGTAATTTTTTAATAAGTAAATGAACACAACTAAAGACCTTCAATTCTAATAGGTACTTGAACAGTCTTGTAAGGACTCAAAAAGTTAAGAAAAAACATTACTTCAGTCTAAATGGTGTACACAAGTTGGCATACACTCATTTCCAAAAAGTAATTGTGTGACATTATGGCCAGTTTCGACCACTTTTGTTTTGTTTTTAATACTGATTACTTTAAAACTTTTAATACGGCTTTTATCATACAATAATGTATAATTTTATAAAAAAATAATCAACATTAAAAGCAAAAGAAAAGTAATCTGAACTGTTCAAAATGACGAACAATTATTTTTCGACATGAGTGTATAAATATGTACTTACATATGTATGCTTACTTCATATATAAATATAAATTTGTACTTCAATGAAAGGTACAAGGTTTTAGGAACATTTTACATTTTGAGCGTGTGTGAATCGGTAACAAAGTTCTCGGCGAGTAAATTTTTGAAAAGTATGAGGTGAATAAAATTTCATTAGCTCATGAGGCTAGTGAAATTTTTGACAAATGAATAGAAAATTTTGACAATCGCAAAGATTGTTGATGTGTGACATTTTTCGTTAAATAGAAGCTTGAATTGATGAATTGCAATTATTGATGGTAGATCTTTTCTTAAAATATTAATTTCACTTCAATTTGTAATATTTTGTTCCGCATAAATCTGCGTTTGTCACAAATTTACTGCTGTCAAAAAAGATTTCATTTCACACAGCAGATTGACCACCACAGCAAAAATATTATTCACCAGCTTTCCCCATAGAACTTTGTTACCGATTCACACACGCCCTTTGTATTTATATTAAGGATATCAAAAGCTAAGGCACGGTGCACTTCAGAGCGATACGACAGCGACACTGTGGCGACATATATCGCAAGCGTATCGGCCGAGCGACACGGTTTGCTATCACACTGCAAATGGTATCGCGTGTTGTATCGCTGTAATGTGCACTGCGCGTTATGTGCCATATTCTGCAAATCGTACGATTGAAAATCGGTGCGATTTAGAAACTATTTTTAAGCAAAGTAATAAATATTTCAAATGGAAACGGCAAGAAATACATCATTTTCGTCATATCCATTGATTGAGTGCCAAATGTTGCCTTTTTGTTAAGAAAACTCCAAGGTAGGTTTTACAAACCGCACCAATTTCAAATCGTACGATTTGCAGAACATGGCCGATACAACTAATACAACAATTTGTTTTTAACATGAGTGTATAAATATAGTTTTACATACGGTTGCCCACAAAATAATAGGAGTGCGATATTTTGACCCGTTTGAAATCTGAGGTTATATGGTGTTTGTTGTATAACCAGCTAGACTTTTATAAAAAACTAATAAACATAAAATACACAAAAGACAAATAGCCAAAACGGGTCAAAATATCGCACTCCTATTATTTTGTGGACAACTGTATATACATATGTTTACTTCATATATAAATATAAATTTGTACTTCAATGAAAGGTACAATGTTTTACAAAATTAGGTACAATGCAAGGCGAATTTATATAAGGTGGTGTTGTTTCATCAGCTGTGAGTAGCGTTTGATTGTCAAAATTTTGAATTTCGTTAGTGAGTGAGTGAAAACGTGAGAGTGTTTGCATTTTCTGTCGCCCTTTTGCATTCGGGGAAGAATAGCTGAAATTTGACAATGGCCCGCTAAAAGCAAAAACAAAATACAAGTAATTGTTGTATTTGTTCAATCGACACCACCTTATGTGTATTCGCCTTGGTACAATGTTTTAGGAACATTTACAAAAATAGGAAACTTTTCAAATCGTTTGCTTTACGATACAATATTTCAAGAATAGCTTTTAGCATATAATTAATATATCTGTGGTCATAAGCAATAATCGCCTAAGTCGAAAAACCTGAAATCGAGAAAAAACATTTTTAACATTGAGATTGTAATGTTAGCCTTATGGGGAAACGTAATATATTTTCGTAAAAACTCAATTCTTTCTTTTGTCGACTTAGACGGTTATTGCTTATGACAACAGATATATCGCTACAATATGTAAATTTATAAAATACTTATTGTTCGACAAAAAATATTTCCTCAGGCTTGTGAAAAACGTTTTGATTTTGGTCGAATGGCTCAGAAGATACATCATCTGGCGAAGTAGAAGGAGTAGAACAGGTCGGGTAGTACAATTGACTTGGATTTGGTCTGAAAAAAAGAGTTCCCTGAGCGTTCCTGCTGAAGCAAAATCTTCTGTAGCTCAACTATTGTATTTATGCGGAATTGCATGAAGTTTTCGTCGCTCAACTTGTTAACATCCGGCATCAAGCTTAAAAAAAACATTCGCCGACCGTCATCCCGTCCCTCATCACGTCCCTTCCTATTCTCCCTTGATTTTACTATTTCCATTACCGCCTCAGCAATATCGCCATCACCCTCTTTTTTTCTTTTTCTTGCCTTAACACCGCTTTCTACTCTTTGTGACGTTTCCGGAATCGGGTCATAAGAATTTTCCTCCGTAAATACCTCTACCTCTTCGCTTTCAGTAAAGAGGTCCACATCGCTGTATAAAACACTGCTTTCATTTCCGGCCGAATGCTTTACAGGCCTTATATATTGTAGCACAAATTGTAGGGAGTCATGGAGATAGTACGGTTTTTTCGCTTTCGCGCCAGAACCACTTGGCGGTGCTTTTAGGCTGCGAACAAAATTGTTACGAATGTTTCGCCATTTCTCTTTGCACTCACTAACTGTAAAATAAATAAAAAAATATATTAATAAAATTAGTTTTCTTCAATTAAAAAAAAAATACTTTGAAATAAAAATTTTCATTTGTTTTCAGATATTTAGCTACTGGATGTACCTTCGCTGCACTTGCGCTGCACTTTCAAAGGGGCGAGCGGACAATCGGTGCGATTGTTGAAGAAACAACCAAGGCAGTGTGGGATGTTTTAAAAGGTGACTATATGAAAATGCCCAATCACCAAGGATGGAAAAGAATTGCGGACCGTTTTTACGAGTTGTGGCAGCTACCTAATTGTTTAGGTGCGATCGACGGCAAGCATATTCGGATAGAACAATTTCCGAATTCTGGATCAGCAAATTATAATTATAAAAACTTTCATTCGATTATATTGCTTGGTTGTTGCGATGCGGATGGGCTTTTTACATCGGTGGAGTGTGGGTTTGCAGGTCGTAATAGCGATGGAGGAGTTTTTCGCATTTCCGAATTCCAACATTGGTTGGAAAGAACGTGTGATATACCGTCGCCCAAAGAATTACCTCTCGATGAGAGTGGAATAAAATTTCCGTACTATTATGTTGCAGACGCCGCGTTTCCACTGAGAAAAAACATTATGCGACCATATCCGGAACGAAACTTGGACAACAGAAAACGCATATTTAACTATAGACTGAGTCGAGCGCGAAAAAACATCGAGTGTACATTTGGTATGATGACACAAACATTTCAAATTTTTATGTCACCTATTCGCTGCAAAAAATATTCGACCATCATATCAATTGTACATTGTGCTACAGTTCTACATAATTATATACGCCAGAAGGACGGTGTGTTATACTCCAGACAGCTATTCAATAGTGCCAACACGCGGCCTTCAAACGCACCAATGCGTTCGGATGTTGTGGCCACAGAAAATTCATCTCCACAAATTTTAAGAGACTATCTGTCAAACTACTTTTTGTCGCCACATGCAGCTCTGCCATGGCAATGGAAATATTGCGTTTAATAAATGTAATAAGTGCAATTTTTAAGCTACTAAGACTTTTATAAAAAAAAAATAAATAAACAAAAGACATGTCGAATTTTCTAAAATGAAATAAACACACTTTGATTCTTTTACGAAATTTCGGAAGAAAATCGGTAAAGCAATGAAAATAATGCTGCTATGTGAAGAATTTCTTGCAGAATTTTTTTTATTTTTCGTACAGAAATTTCTTTACGAGTTCGTGTCAACCACCTCTATAATTTTCTTTGAAGATTCGTAAAAAATCATTAAAGAAATGAGATACTCCTAAAGAATTCGTTGTAAGTAAACTATAAATTTAAGGTTTTCAAAATATTCAATTATATTTCAAAATCCAATTTTTAATGTAACATTTGCATATAAAATACATATAAAAAGTAAGTAATGTGATTGAGACTACTAGTTGGTAGATGCAGAATGAATTTGCACTTTAATAATTTTTGTAATAAGAGTTTCTGATCGTAATAAGTGGGTTTTTTTTCAGTTTGATTGGTTTTTTTGTCAGATTTTGGTTGGTTATTTTTTTAATAAGTGGCAACCGTGGTTTATGTTTATGAAAAGGAGGGAATTTTCTTCAAAAATATTTTCGAAAGAAAGCTTTCTTAATCCTCTCTGATTTGATACCCATATTAAAAATTTCAAAACTTAGATGCAACTTTGCAGAATTGTTATAAATTTTGCACAAAGTCTGAAACATGCATTTATATGGTTTTTGTTAGATATTGAGCTATAAAATAGGCAACATTTATTAAAATGTATCTATGTATATATATGTATATGGGCAAATCTAAAAAATAGGTAACCTTTGTGTTATTTAGCTTTATTTTCATTCATTATTTAGCTTCATTTTCATATTTTATCTCAGTGATCTAAATATTTATTCATCGTCTAACTTTTGAAGCACTTGATGAAAATGAATTACACTTATATTTATCGATGTAGTAAGAGATTGCGAATATAATCATATATAAAACATATGTGTGCCCACAAATTAAAAACAATCAACTTTTTGTTTTGAAAGTGTACCTGTTTTTTAGATTTGCCCATATGCAAATTAATTTAAATATGTTATATTTTATTTCTGGCATGAAAAAGAGCTTCTCATAAAAATACAATCGCCGTTCGGAGTCGGCGTAAAACTGTAGGGCCCTCCGCTGTGTGTGACAACATCAAGGCGCACGCCACAAAGCGTATGAGAAGCTCGGCCAAACACTAACATATGTGTAAGCGCCAATCTATTATTATTATTATTATTTTATTTCTGCTCTCATTTCGGTAAAGCACATGTCAGTACTCTAGCTAAATGCTTCCAAACGTATGCGTCAAGAGAACTTTAGTTTTATAAACACGAGTTTCGAAGCTCTTCAAATAAATAAAAATGAGTTTGAAAGTATACAAACCCCACCCATTAGAAAGATCACAATCCAAACTTTAAGAAAAGGCATCCTTTCCCCCTCTGACTCCTTCTCAAACCACCGAAATCCAATTTCAAAATGAAGTTAAATTAGCATTTCGACGTAGAAAATGTGAACTCGGGTTATGCCATCCACAGTATTTTTGCGCAGAACACCTTCCACATTGGAGGCCCTAGGCCGCGTTGAGAAAAAATAACCCTCATCAGTCCAACTCCGACTGCTACTAATGCATATTTCAGAAGCTGGTCTGAAAACAATTTTATTGGCGAAATTGGACTGCCCATCGGAGTGATTGCATAAAAGCTAAAACCAAATTTTCATTTATAGATAGCAACGCAATCTCAATAGAGTTGTTCACTTGCAACGCCACACACTATCACTTGAATCCACTCTACCCACGCCCAATGCTTTTCCCGTCGTTGTCCGATATGCGACCTGATAGTATATTCGTGCCCAGGAAAACCTGGTAGGTGCTTACGGTAACCGGCAAGTTTATTAATTTAATATATAAAGAAGATAAGGACTCACCTGGCCATAGCATTTGTTGAGACACCTCATTCCAAGCCCTTTCCGTAACATCCTTCCTCGAATACTCTTGAAGAGTGTTATTGTATAAACACGGGTACGTTTCTATTAATTCAACAAATTTTATAGTTGAATCGCTCATTTTTTTTAATTTTTCACAAAATATAAGAAATTTTCCTGAAACCACACCAATTTGAAACGCAAGCAAAACGATTAGTGAACGACATTGCTGCACGTAATCGTTTTTGCTTTTTCCTTGATTAGTCGATAGCTAGCCGATAACGACAGGTGTGCAGACCGCCATTAAAATACATTTGCTCGGCTCAGAATTGGAAGGCGAGACGATAACGAAACTATGATTACACGACACATGTGCAGATAGCCTTAAAAAGCCATGCAGAGTGCATATTTATATTTGTAGACGGCAGTCAACCACCATAAACTCCACAGCTGTTGACTCCACAGCTTTTATTTGATGACTTTTGTACCATTTCCGAGAGGATGCATGAGTGTGCCTTTTTTGGAAGCAAATATTCTATGTCAGTAAAACATAATTTTAGCTGAACTTTTAAATGTATAATAATTTGGGCACTGTTTTGTATTAGGTAATCCACTGGTGCATTACCTCATACCAGCACTAAAAGAATCAGGTACTAACAAAAATAAGTAGGTAGTGAAGTTCATGTATCTATTTACTGTAGAAACTGCTTTTGTATGTATGCCATTGCCAGCAAACTAAACCAGAAACTGTCTACATTCACCATGGAAGTATACCTACTACAATTCACCAAGAAAAGGCCAACATAGTTCCATATAGAAGCTCATAGCTCACACACATAGCACAAAGCTCGATTTGGTGTTTAATGCATGTACTCGCCGGCAGAACTGCTTCCACTTTTTCGCCAGGTTTGCGTCCGTAGGAAACGAAAAAAAAAACTTATATAGCACGCTTTCTTTTTGTTTTCACTATTACACTTTGCAACTGCACACTTCATTTTGCTTTTGGGTTGGCTTTCCAAAACTGAACCAATCGAGATTTCAGCGAAAGTATTTGGAATTTCGCCATGAAACTTGGTCAAGATATTGGGGGAGGCTTTCTCTACATTTATATATCACTATCACAATGTAGTTGCTAATAGTATTTAAGCAATTTGTTGTTAAATAATCTTCACTACCACCCCCACATTTTTGTACTAAATACCACTTTTCACGTATATTTTGTGTGATATACTATATTTTCAATGTTCACGTGCGTATTTTATACTTTTAATATATATATATTCACCAATTCATTAAGTAAAACGCGTTTATAAATTCGTTCACGCGTTTCANTAAATACCACTTTTCACGTATATTTTGTGTGATATACTATATTTTCAATGTTCACGTGCGTATTTTA